TTGACAGGATTCGAACCTGCATTCTATACGGAACAGCCATGTACGCTGACGTGCCTAACCTCTCGGCCACAAAGGAGCGCTTGGTAGGCAAAGTCGAATTTACTGCTTATAAACTTCAATCTTCCATGTCAAAGGACAAATATTTTCTATGAAAATTTCTCGGACATTCAGGCCGGTAAATGTTATTTAATACTGTTTATTATAAACAGAGCATTTACTTAAATACTTGTATCTATAAAAAAAGAACGTTAAACATAAAATGTCTTTAATAAATAAATTGTCGGACTTTTTTCCATTTCTTAATATATATATATATATATATATATATATATATATATATATATATATATATATATATATATATATATACAAACTTGTCGCCAAGAAGCAGTGCATTATAATTAATATGTATTATATTGTAATTAATTTTCGTTCAATTCAAATACATTATTTTCTGTGTAACAATTGAGGGGAAGTGTGCAAATTAACGATGATCCCCCGCCCAAATTCAAGGTATATTTCTTTGGGAAAAGAAAAAAAGAATTTTAGTTAAATAAAAATTATGGGACAGACATTAGTTGCATTTTGGGGGTGGTGAGGCAAAGCGAAAGAAGAAAATTGGGTGAGAATGAGAGCTGGGGAAAAGAGTATCGTTCACCCCTGATATGCCAGTAATGATCTTAGCATTTCATCCACTCTTGATTTTGTCATATTATGTAGTGTCAATTCGTGCTACAGTTAAGGATCTAATCGCAGTTTTCAGCATAGGAAATAAACACCAGAACCTTTTTTATGGTACTCCTAAATCCAACCAAAATCCTTTGCCTATTAACGTTGAAATGATAAATTCTTTTTTGTTTCTCATCATTATACTTCCGCATACACAATTCCAGTTTCAAGTACGCGGCAAGCTTTTAACATAGTTTTCAGGCCATCACAGTCTCAACAGTGTATCAGAGAATACAACAGGGTAATAATTACGCCATGATGAATTAAATCCATTTCCGGAGAGCAATTCTTCTGGTGTGTTTTTATTTATGGTGTTGTTCATCGTGCCAAAAGCGCTTTTTCTTGAACAAAAGAATGCCTCTAAGAACACAAACAATTTGAAGATGTCAACAACTAAATTTTCTAAGATGGCGTTTAGCACACGTGTTCACTTTTGCACTATCAGTTTCCTGCACTTCTCATATAATTGTTTTCTTACTCAACACATGTACGCTAACCCGCAAAAATGCACAACGCTTTGTTTAAAACTAGCGTACAAATCGCCTTATCGTACGGCATTTAAACTAACTACTGCGAAGGGCATTTGATTGAGCCTTGATCACAATAGCTAGGGAGGAATAGATGCGATAGACAACAATAAACTACAGAAGAACTCAAAACTGGCCACTGCATTTAAGTATTGCATTAAAATTTAAGCTTACAATTTAAAAGTTCAACGAAAATTCTTCTCTTGCCACTTAATTTAAAGACAGTTTGATGCTCGTAGGTCCTTACTTTCCGTACAAACAATTATTTTTATTTCATGGGTGAATTTCGCAATTAATTTCGATTATTCCCAAATTTATTTCCAAGTTATAAAAATTGTTATCGTGCAAAAAAATTCGTCGCAAAAAATTACGGAAAAATCGTCGAAAAAAATCGCAGTAATGAAAACTTGGGAATCCAAAATTTAAGGATTATGAGTCCAGATATGGCCCCGAAATAGCGTAAAACAAAATAAACCAAACCCTGATCTACAATCTGATCTCTTACAAAGAATACATATTTTATTCATCGGAACCTATTCTAAAAAAACCTTTTCGACAATAAATAACACATTGAGGTTGATATGGCGTAAAACAAAATAAACCAAACCAATCTAAACCAAAGAATACATATTCTATTCATACGAATCTATCCTAAAAATCTTGTCGGCATTAAATAACCTATTGAGATTGATATGCCGTAAAACAAAATAAACCAAACCAAAATAAACCAAAGAATACATATTCTATTCATACGAATCTATCCTAAAAAATCTTGTCGGCATTAAATAACCTATTGAGGTTGATATGCCGTAAAACAAAATAAACCAAACCAAAATAAACCAAAGAATACATATTCTATTCATACGAATCTATCCTAAAAATCTTGTCGGCATTAAATAACCTATTGAGATTGATATGCCGTAAAACAAAATAAACCAAACCAAAATAAACCAAAGAATACATATTCTATTCATACGAATCTATCCTAAAAAATCTTGTCGGCATTAAATAACCTATTGAGATTGATATGCCGTAAAACAAAATAAACCAAACCAAAATAAACCAAAGAATACATATTCTATTCATACGAATCTATCCTAAAAATCTTGTCGGCATTAAATAACCTATTGAGATTGATATGCCGTAAAACAAAATAAACCAAACCAAAATAAACCAAAGAATGCATATTTTATTCATACGAATCTATCCTAAAAAATCTTGTCGGCATTAAATAACCTATTGAGGTTGATATGCCGTAAAACAAAATAAACCAAACCAAAATAAACCAAAGAATACATATTCTATTCATACGAATCTATCCTAAAAATCTTGTCGGCATTAAATAACCTATTGAGATTGATATGCCGTAAAAAACAAAATAAACCAAACCAAAATAAACCAAAGAATACATATTCTATTCATACGAATCTATCCTAAAAATCTTGTCGGCATTAAATAACCTATTGAGATTGATATGCCGTAAAACAAAATAAACCAAACCAAAATAAACCAAAGAATACATATTCTATTCATACGAATCTATCCTAAAAATCTTGTCGGCATTAAATAACCTATTGAGATTGATATGCCGTAAAACAAAATAAACCAAACCAAAATAAACCAAAGAATACATATTCTATTCATACGAATCTATCCTAAAAATCTTGTCGGCATTAAATAACCTATTGAGATTGATATGCCGTAAAACAAAATAAACCAAACCAAAATAAACCAAAGAATACATATTCTATTCATACGAATCTATCCTAAAAATCTTGTCGGCATTAAATAACCTATTGAGATTGATATGCCGTAAAACAAAATAAACCAAACCAAAATAAACCAAAGAATACATATTCTATTCATAATGAATCTATCCTAAAAATCTTGTCGGCATTAAATAACCTATTGAGATTGATATGCCGTAAAAACAAAATAAACCAAACCAAAATAAACCAAAGAATACATATTCTATTCATACGAATCTATCCTAAAAATCTTGTCGGCATTAAATAACCTATTGAGATTGATATGCCGTAAAACAAAATAAACCAAACCAATCTAAACCAAAGAATACATATTCTATTCATACGAATCTATCCTAAAAATCTTGTCGGCATTAAATAACCTATTGAGATTGATATGCCGTAAAACAAAATAAACCAAACCAAAATAAACCAAAGAATGCATATTTTATTCATACGAATCTATCCTAAAAAATCTTGTCGGCATTAAATAACCTATTGAGGTTGATATGCCGTAAAACAAAATAAACCAAACCAAAATAAACCAAAGAATACATATTCTATTCATACGAATCTATCCTAAAAAATCTTGTCGGCATTAAATAACCTATTGAGATTGATATGCCGTAAAACAAAATAAACCAAACCAAAATAAACCAAAGAATACATATTCTATTCATACGAATCTATCCTAAAAAATCTTGTCGGCATTAAATAACCTATTGAGATTGATATGCCGTAAAAAACAAAATAAACCAAACTAAAATAAACCAAAGAATACATATTCTATTCATACGAATCTATCCTAAAAATCTTGTCGGCATTAAATAACCTATTGAGATTGATATGCCGTAAAAACAAAATAAACCAAACCAAAATAAACCAAAGAATGCATATTTTATTCATACGAATCTATCCTAAAAAAATCTTGTCGGCATTAAATAACCTATTGAGGTTGATATGCCGTAAAACAAAATAAACCAAACCAAAATAAACCAAAGAATACATATTTTATTCATACGAATCTATCCTAAAAATCTTGTCGGCATTAAATAACCTACTGAGGTTGATATACCGTAAAACAAAATAAACCAAACCAAAATAAACCAAAGAATACATATTTTATTCATACGAATCTATCCTAAAAATCTTGTCGGCATTAAATAACCTATTGAGGTTGATATGCCGTAAAACAAAATAAACCAAACTAAAATAAACCAAAGAATACATATTTTATTCATACGAATCTATCCTAAAAATCTTGTCGGCATTAAATAACCTATTGAGGTTGATATGCCGCAGAACCAAATAACAAAGAATACATTGTGAGAAATTCTCCACGTCCTTCATTTTGTCATCCTCGGCAAATAACTCACAAGTTGATCTTTCTACATTTCTTATCAAACACTCATTCTGTCTTATTACATTGGGTGATTTAAGCTTTTAAGTAGTCAACGGAATCGTTCATGGAATAGAATGTCGAGTATTAGGATTCAATTTCACTGCAAAGTTGACATGACACGTTGTCAAACTTTCTGTCATGTTTTACAACGACGACACAATATTTAACGTAAAAAAGCACACAGATATAGACGAGCGATCTGATATTGACTTTCCATATTATCTTTTGCAAGATAGTTGCCAATAAGGAGTTTTTTTTATCATCGATAGACATATTTATCTTTTTAAGTGACAGATGAAAATGGAAGTGCTAAGTGAATATATTTGTGCTAAGAGAAAATGTTGTTAATGAGCCACCATAGAGTGCAATTTGGCAACCAATGTTTTAGCCGACACAATAAGAGGGACAGTGCCGCCGTATTATTACGAAAGGATTTTTCTTTTCGTTTTCTACTGTTTATCATCTCTTTGCAGTTTATTTAAAGCCAGGAAATAATATTTTTTAATCGTAAGATATTTTTTTTACATAATAATAATTTAGTGATACAAGTCTTACTGATTACACCAAACTTGGGTGGGGTAAGAGGTGAATTCATACCTTTTCCCAACACTACATAGATAGATAGATAGATAGATAGATAGATAGATAGATAGATAGATAATGAAAAGACTTAGATAGATAGATAGATAGATAGATAGATAATGAAAAGACTTAGATAGATAGATAGATAGATAGATAGATAGATAGATAGATAGATAGATATGTATGTTTTATTAAATAATATGGACAAATTCTGTTTATCATTTTTTATTAAATCAAGAAAGCAGTTTTGTCCGAAGAATAAACATTACAATCTGATTTTCAGGTTCACGCCATCATTATCTCCAGACCAAGATCGAATTCAGGCGGGAAACTTGTCGTGTGTTCTTAAGATCGTATCATGGTGTGAATCTGACAATCTTTGTGCCATGCTGAGTCCTCTATCCCTTTTATACACACAGACACACAAACACTCATAATATATATATATATATATATAGATAGATAGATAGATAGATAGATAGATAGATAGAAATGAACAAACAATATAGATAGATAGAAATGAACATATAGAAATGAACAGATAGAACGAAATGAAAACACAATATAGATAGATAGATAGATAGATAGATAGATAGATAGATAGATAGATAATGAAAAGATTTAGATAGATAGATAGATAGATAGATAGATAGATAGATAGATAGATAGATAGATAGATAGATAGATAGATTTTTAACTGTTGTGCTCAGTATAAATGTTGCTTGAAGTAGTCATATTCTTAATTTCTCATGAGCGATTGATTTGTTTTCTATGGTTTATCAACCCTATGCGTGCCATAAAATATTTTTTTCAGATTGTAAAACTTTTTCTATAGGAAGAGGGGGCGATAATAATAAGCTGAGAGGAGACGAAATGAATTCATACTTTTCCCAATTTATATTTACGCGAAATTGAATATAACGAACCCAACACGATTTGACAATTCGCTGCCATTATCCATTACATCACCCAAACCTCAAAGCTTACAGTGACTGTACCGGAACCGCCATTTCAACGTGATATGGCCGTAATCGAAAATTATGAAGGAAAAAATTTATACTCTTTGACATACAAACAAACATTTGGAATTCATTGACCGAGCAGCCAGTATCGTTTTCAGTTGAAATTCATAAAATTTTCCCCTGAATTGAACTGGTTTTTCAAGTCTAGTAGCTGTTATCGCTCTTTCCATTATTGATGGGGAGAGATTCCTTCTGTGCCTTCTGTTCTAAGTAATCTAAGTAATCGTTCTAAGTAATGCGTTCAATCAAAATAAGTGCTGTGTAATTTGTCTCATGTGTTTAATATAATGTGGAATGTCAGAATCTTATGTCCTTATTTTACCTTCTAGTTACATGTACTATCCATTTTAGTGGTTGTTGCTGTTGGAAGTCCTCAAATGATGTGGTTTCTTTTATTTGGTAAAGTTCTTTGTTTTTGATTCAGTAGTGTTAGTCCACAAAGTATAATGGTCTTTGCGAAGAGGAAAATAGGTTTCTTAAGTGCAATGTTGTCTCTTTTCTTAGGGGCTTCATTCCTTTTTATTTGAAATAGAGTCGCATTACTTTCTCTTCTAGTTGCAAGTACTATCCATTTTAGTGGTTGCTGCTGTTGGTAGTCCTCAAATGATGTGGTTTCTCTTATTTCGTAAGGTTCTTTATTTTTGATTCAGTAGTGTTAGTCCACGAAGAAGGATGCTCTTTGCGACGAGGAAAATAGGTTTCTTAAGTGCAGTGTCATCTCACTTCTAAGGGGCTTCCTTCCTTTTTGCTTAAAGTAGGGTACGAAAAACAACATCTTGATTATCACATTATTTTCTCTTCTAGTTACATTTAATATCCATTTTAGTGGTTACTGCTTTTGGTAGTCCTCAAGTGATGTGGTTTCTCTTATTTGGTACAGTTCTTTGTTTGTGAGTGTGTAGCGCCAGTTCACAATGTTCAAAGATGGATGATCTTTGCCAAGACCCTCAGGCTTTATTTACCCAAAGCCTTTTTTACCATTAATCTTAGTGGCCTCCTTCCTTTTCGTTTGAAGCGGTGTAAATGATTGTGATTGGGGATGAGAAAAAAAAAGAGAGCCAAATTTTAATTCCAGCCGACTTCGTTACATTCACGAATACCCTTGAAAAACGTATGAATCCATTTTTTGTCCCCCTATTTATGGGTTAAATAGCAGAACAAACTTGTTTCGATAGTCTTGGTTGGCGGCTATTTTAGAGATGATGACTCGGTGAACTCTCCTATCTGCCAGCCAGCCTTGGCCGCTTGAAGTGAAATTTTTCAGCCGGCCTAGTTTCACCCCCCCCCTTCTAACCGCAGGCAGAGAAAACGTTTACTTTTATGCTCCCGCCATCGTAATCTCAAAATCAAAGTCTCGCTTTTCATTGTTTGGATTACTGTTATCGTCGCTATGGTAACACATGTGTCATCTTATTTCTAAATAAATCATTCAACAAATATTGCTGCTCAACATAGAAACAAAGACTTAACATACGCCCCACTGAATCAGGCACGTTTATTGAAAGTAGGTACCTCCACTTTTTTGCTAAAGGCCGGTTTAATGTGGTTATCCCCGAGCCCGTAGGCTCGGCCAAAAATATAGCCTTTGAACCAGCCTAGACGGGTTCAGGTCCTGTCTACCTCCCCGAACGAAACCTTGCCCTTCGGCACAGCTTCGTCCGGGTTCCTCTCTGCTAATGCAGAAAGTTCGACAGACGCCGACTCGGAAGCTCACAAAGGCAGCGTACTACACTTTGATCATAGCCCCCGGGCCGAGCAGCTGCCTACGGTATTATCTCTATGACTGCACTAAATACGGTAGGGGGGTAGGTTGGCAGTAATATATATTCTTTTAAGCAAGTTATTTTTAATAGATCTAGCAACTAATTCAATATAATCCCTCCACTTCATGCTAGTCGAAAACGTTAAACCAAGAAAGTTCAATGATTAACTCTCCTGGAGGTTAATATTAACCATGCTGATGGGAGCAAAGATAGTTATCTATGGTGATTAAATGATTGTTTCGTTTTGGATGCATTAAAAATAACAAGCCATTTCTTGCGCCGGTTAAAAATGGGAGATCATATTTTTTTAATTTACATTTTTACAACAGCGTAATAATTGTACACCCTTTAGTATGATATATGGTAAATACTAATTTGCATTAAAAAAAATAATATATCTCTTCCTTTCATTCATTGGATATTAAATTGTATCACTTGGTGTCCCCCATAGCTTGCCTGATTTTTCTGTTAACGTGATGAATATTTTTGTGTTTTCCTAAACTTTAAAATTCTGAAAAAGCAATAACATTTTTGATCTTGCATATAAATACATGATACAAATAAAATCTTCGCATTTGTAAAGTCTCTCAGAGGACGAAGCACGTCAGCTAGGATATGTTTTATTTTTATCTTTATTCACATAGATAGATAGATAGATAGATAGATAGATAGATAGATAGTAACTGTTATAGTCAGTATTTTGCTGAAAATAGTCATATTTATAATTTCTCGTGATTTACTGATTTGTTTTTTGTTTTTTACGGATTATCAGCCTTTTGCGGATTATCGTTTTCTATGTTTTATCAACCCTTTGCAGGTCATTTTTCTTTTTAGATTGTAAGAACTTTTCGGTGAGGGATGGGTCCATAATAATAGTTTGATGATACAAGCCTTACTAATTAACCCATAAGTGGGGGGAAGAGGTGGATTCATACCTTTCCCAACAGTGAAAGTGAATATAACAAACCCGACAGGAATTGGAACTCGGCTCTCCGATTAACAATTCCAACCATTATATATTACAACAGCCACACATCCAAACATATAGCCTCTGGTATTCCCAAGCGGTTACCGATCTAGGTACTGACTAGGTACGACATTGCTTAACTTCGGTGATCGTACGCGGTATGTCCATAACGCATTTAATTTCTCATTACGATTCTAATGATAATTGCTGTTATTAAGTTCCGATTTTGGATATTTTTTTTTATATATAATAAGAGTTTCTATCACTTTTAGACTATTTTTTTTTTTTTTTTTGTCGAGTATTAATTCCATGCGTCTTTAATCTTGTCCGGATGGAGCTTTGGTTAGAAAGATATAGAGTCAACCGTCTTGACAGTTGGTCAATATAATGGAAGCCCTTATGATTTAAAAATAAAAATCATGTAAATGAGTATGTTTTCTTATATTTTCTTTCGCTAGGTATTAGGATATTTTCCATTGAATAGCTAAACTGTACTTGTCTCATAATAGAGAAAAATGTTAGGAACAGAAAAATTATTACATGTGTTACTGTCATCTAGCGTTTATGTGTTCAATCCTTGTGTAACGACCCACTAGAGAAATTTTAAATATGCTTAGTCATGTCAAGATGACTCAAGGTCTGAACGTCCTGCAACTGCCACCATCGAGGAAAGCATTAATCGTAGTTACCACATGGTGATGGATGAAAGGCGATTGGCTCTTAATCAAATAAACAATGCTACTAGTATATTCCGTGAGTCAGTTGAGAATATTCTGTACAATAAACATGGTATGACGAAGCTTTCTGTTCAGTCGTTAGGACATCTTCTGACACCTGATCAAAAGCACACCAGCTGATTACATCATGAGAAATTCAATGTTACATAACAATACAGCTTTGTTTTTAACGAAATTATCCTGTCCCTTAATACTTTGTTTAGCTTTGGGGAGGCATCTTCCGCTATCCCAATGCCGCTTCGGCTTTCGGTGTCGCATTTTCCGTCCTCTGTTAAAACATTTTCTAGATACTTACATTTTCGTACTTGCTTGATTTTGGTCTCTCCAATTGCTGGTTCAGATCTTGTATTGCTACAGTTGCTCACAACCATACGTTCTGTCTTCTTACTGAATAGAATATGCAAGCGAAGGTTGGAACGATAATACTTAGGACAAGAACAACACATAAAAGATTCGCCAGATGCGCGAAGAAGTAGTCAGCTGCTAGAAGGGAGTCAAGTGAATTACACAATGAATCTCCAACTGCAGGATATCTACCAACCGACTCACGCGGTCAGATTTTGCACAAGGCCGAATTTAATATGGGGTATCCGAGCCTGTAGGCTCGGCAAAAAACTCCCCGTGTTTCCACAGACGAGCCTTTGCCGTTGGGCATAGCCCCGTCTGGGGATGCCCTCGGTCCGAAAGCAGAGAGCTTAACCAGCCCAGATGAAGACGAATCCCCAACGGCATGCCGGCCGACCAACATATACAGTATTCACTATTGTATTTATGGAAATGGGGACATACCCATTATTGTCCGTACATATGCTACAACACATACGTTGCTTGGCTTTTCGAAGGCATCTTTCGCTATCTCGCGAGACGAGACTCTGCCCTTCGACATAGACTCCTCTGGGAATCCTCTCTGCCTAAAAAGACGAATCTCCAACTGTAGACCAACATACAGTATGTACTACTGTATTTATATGAATGGAGACATACCCATTATCATCCGTAGTTAGGTTACAACACAATTAATGCTTAGTCCTTTCTTTTCTCTTTCTTTACTACTTTCTGCGGTGTGTCTGTTGTTTGCTTTCCTTGTCTCATACCAACACCGTGTCATCTCTATATCCTATCTATATTGTTAAAATTGTGGCCCCCAATAACAGATTCTTGGTAGGACATCTAATTCTCTCCGACTAGATATATGTCATTTCATATCAATGAGGTTACAATATATAACAGACCGGACGATCTCCGTTTGGCGTATCGACAGAGGTTCAATTTAAAATGCAATTTGCATTTTTAAGTAGCAACGAGAAGGAAGTAAATAAGTTATCATAAAATAAGCGTAAGAATATCAAATGCATTCAAAGAATGAAAGTGAAAGATTGAAAATATGTATATTTTATGAATAAATGACATGGAAAACGAATTTTAAAAAATTATTAGTAAATATGCAATCAGGAATTAAAATCGTGTTGGCAAATGCAATAAAAATTCCATCTGATACAAAATGTTCATTTATTTTAGCGATATCTCTTTTCTGTTAATCATCTCAGACGTTTCATTGTGGTACAAAATGGTATGAAGTAATAAAACACGGTGTGTCAAAAATACTAACGTTAACTCGGCCGTCCACGGTCTGGAAACACAATCTGATACAGCCGTGCAGCCTCGTGTCCATTACCATTCGCGTGACCGTAAGTTAATGTCGTATGTACCTGCTCACGATATGAATATCTTGCCATTGTTAAACGGAACGCTTCTCAGATATTTCACTACTACACACATTAAAAAATAAAGACAGACTAGCCACAAATGTACACGAATGACAAATGTAACCTTGTCTAAAAGCGCCATCTACCGTAAACTTTCTTTAAACTTAATCACTCAAAAAACATATGTTTATATGGACCTTTGTCCTTGTTTTGGTGTGAGGAACCTGCCTCCAAAGTTTGTAAAAGTTTTTGATACATCATATATATATATATATACCCAGAGTTTGTAAAACTGCATATATATATATATATATATATATATATATATATATATATATATATATATATATATATATATAAATAAGTTTTTCGTGGTACAGAATTTAATAATAGATAGGAAAAGATAATAATAAGGCATTTTTAAAAGCAAAAGCCAAAATAAAACTACCGGTTTCGTCCCAGGACTTATCAAGTTATTTATTCTGGGAATTTAAAAGCGTGTAAATTAATTTTAATTAACGAATGTAATTAAATGGGGAGAGAGAAAAAAGAATTATGAATTTCAAGAGACTAGAGTCTAATAATATTCAGACCCAGCAATCATTCCCTCTGGTTACAAAGGGAAGGCTCACGAGATCTGATATACATGGACTCCAGGACCTTGAGGTGAAATGTGGAGTCGGACCTCGATAAAATAATAAATCGGTCACCACTAAAATTTTCCACACATTCCCTTCTATTTATTAAATGTTCAGCAATAGCAGAACCAGAACTGTTAGTCAGTTGGCTATTCCTGGAGGACGGATTCAAAATCCTAGAGGGTAAATGTTGTTTTATTCTCGAATCCAAACGCTGGGACGTCCTACCTATGTAGTCATGTCCACAACTACACTTGTATTGGTAAATCACTGAATTAACATGATGGGGAGGTAGGACATCCTTACGACATCCTATATATATTTTGTGTGTGTGTGTGTGTGTGTGTTTAGGCAGAAAATTGTTTTTTCAGGCATTTCTGATTGAAAGAGTTACAAACGTTATGTCAGTTTATTTTTATCTTAATTCGAATATATTTAATTGATATATACGGAAAAATCGTTTATAATCAAAATAAGCAGACGTTTATAACTTATTCAATCATATATATACACACACACACACATATATATATATATATATATATATATATGTGTGTGTGTGTGTGTGTGTGTGTGTGTGTGTGTGTGTGTGTGTGTAAGTATGTTTTGTAACCTAGGGAAAGTTACTGAATAGAATAATCACACAAAGGTTGATAATGAACGATAATACTTAGGACAAGAACAACACATATAAGATTCGCCAGCGGCGCGTAGAAGACGTAGTCATCTGCTACAAGTGAGTCAAGTGAATTCCACAATGAATCTCCAACTGCAGGATATCTACCAACCGACCCACGCAGTCAGATGTGGCACTAGGCCGAATTTAATGTGGGGTATCCGAGACCGTAGGCTTGGCCAAAAATTCCCGTGTTTCCCGAGACGAACCCCGGTCCTTGAGCATAGCCCCGTCTTGTTAAGCTATCTGCCTCCGGGCAGAGAGCTTAAACAGCCCAGCTGAAGACGAATCTCCAACTGCATGCCTGCCGACCAGCACATACAGTATTCTCTACTGTATTTATGGAAATGGGGTTATACCCATTATTGCCCGTACATATGCTACAACACATACGTTCCTTGGCTTTTCAAAGGCACCTTTCGCTATCTCGCGAGACGAGACTCTGCCCTTCGACATAGGCTCGTCTGGGAATCCTCTCTGCCCGGAAGCAGAGAGTTTGACATGCACAGCTGGAGACGAATCTCCAACTGTAGATTAATATACAGTATGTACTACTGTATTTGTAACCTAGTGAAGTGTTGTAGAGTAGTTTTCAGAGTGGAAGCTTGTATTTCACTAAGTCGTTCTAAATTAGGTTCGACGTGCAAAACGTTAGGAACTTGAAATAATAGTTAATGACGCAGAAATCTAGTTGTGGGGCTCATACTTTAATGTCCGACATCGACTGACTCACACAACTCACTGAGCTTCACTGGCGACTGCTACTACTACTACTACTTATTATCTATGGGAGAGTCTATTTATAATAGAAATAGGTACGTTCCGGTATAACAGGAAGATTACTGAATAGCATAATCACAAACAGTTGATAATAAACGATAATACTTAGGACAAGAACAACACATATAAGATTCGCCAGTGGCGCGTAGAAGACGTAGTCATCTGCTACAAGTGAGTCAAGTGAATCCCACAATGAATC